TTTTACAGGAGAGGAAAGTTGTAATAATAAATAATACTGACAGGTCCTGAGTTTTTACTATGTCTGGCACCAGTTCTAAGCTCTTAAGATGTATTAACTCACTCCTCCCCCAAATTTTATAAGACAGATATTACTAATATACCCATTTTGTAGATGAAGAAACTGAGAATAGAGATGCTAGTTAACATATCTTGCCCAAGGTTACACAGCTAATAAAGGGTTGAACCTGTAAGTCATCTGACTTCCCTTTCTTAACTATTACACTACAGTAGGGATTGGTTCCAGGACCCTCCATGGATACCCAAATCTGCAGGTGCCCAAAGTCCCTGACACAGAATGGCATAGTATTTGCATATAACCTATTCACATCCTCTCGTATACTTTAAATCATCTCTAAATTATTTATAATATCTAATACAATGTAAATGCTCTGTAAATAGTTGTTAAAGTGAATTGTTTGTATTATTTTTATTGTTGTATTTTTATTTATTTTTTTCAAATATTTTCCATCTGAGGATGATTGAATTTGGGGATGGGAAACCTGTGGATGCAGAGGGCCAGCTGTATATCAAAAGAATCTTGGTGGAGGGTGGAAACGGTCCCTCTGATATGTGACGTCAGATATTCCTTCTGATTGTGCACTGAGAATTATGGAATCGTAGAATTTCTCACAGTAATTCTGAACACCAGAGATTATCCAATCCAGTTTTTTCACTTTCAAGCCTTCATTCCTATTTTTCTATGAGCTGGGCCTATTTTTATGGGGGCGGGGGGAACAGCTTTAATATCACATATGGACCAAAATTTATTTTTTCATCATTTGACTTTTTCTACTTTCAGAGTTTTGGACCCATAATGTCCAATTTGAAGAAGTTAATTTGGCAATGATCAAATTTTGTCATAAACCGTTTTTAATCTTTTATAAAATATATTTTGTTTTTATTTTAATTTGATTAATAGGTATTGAAATTTTGAATCAGATACTAAAGGAAAAGAATATGAATTTTAAAACTAGAATTTAGAACGGGTAAAGGGTCATGAAAATCAACTACAATGTATATTGAGAAGTTAAAATAAAACAAACAAACAAAAAGAAACCCCACTAGAATTTATACATGAGGGGTCTTCAAAAAGTTCATGGAAAAATACATATTTTCTTTTATTTCTATTTTTCCATGAACTTTTCCAAGCACCCTTGTATGTTTACTTAATTGTAAACCTATAGTGCTGTATTTTGATAGTGCCAATTTGACCTTTAGATGAGAGGTTGGCAAAGTTTTCCTGTGAAAGTCCAGATGGTAATATTAGCACATGCTTATGTATGCAGATTCCCAAAATGTTAGTATATGAAATAGAAGTGAAGCCCTGCACCCCACCATTACACATGCCCATTCCACTTCTACTGTTAGATCTATGAAAATCTAGATATATCAGAATATAGAATATATTGTAGAATATATCTATAGAATATTAATATATCTATAGAATATCAGATTTGGTAGCTAGTTAAATAAAAACTTCCTTTACCAGTATTACAATTTTTTTCATTTCCTGCCTAATAGGAAAATGTTGTGGTCTATTTAGAAACTGTTTTAATCTGATTAATTTTAGCACAGTTGTTGCTGATAGAGAATGCTCATGAAAAGCCAGATACCTTTGAAGACAATGATGTGGATTTATGCCAATTCACAACTCTGGGTGGAGTGTACCACTTGGATATTTTGGAGCTTCCCCCACAGTGTAAACCAGTGAAGGGCTGGATGATTGTGGAAGTAGGTTGATTCTTAAATCACCCACCAAGCTAATTTTCACTCCCTTGGGGCGATATTACCATTCTTTTCTCCTTCTCCCCACATTTGTTAGAGCAAGCCTGGGAGGGATAATCTGGTCTATAGGCACTTTGAAGAATCCACTTGAATTAGACTTCCATACTTCAGGGATACCTGAAGGGCAGGGGTAGTCCAAGAAAGACAGCCCTTTGTATCTCTCCATCTATAGAAAGGGCCCAGCCTGAGCTGGGGTTTTCCAGGATCCATCCAAAGATCTGTTGTTTTTGAATTTTGTCAGAATGTCCCAATACCACCACTTTATGTTCTCCATTTGAACCCAAAGAATCCTCCTCTCACACCTGTTTTTCTCTCCTGTAACAAAGAGGCCTCTTTCCTTTTTTTCAATTTTTTTTATCCCAACAACCTGCCACCTCCTGTAGAATTTTGCCCCATCTGATTTTATTTTTAATCTTACCCCCTTCCCTAAATTTTTCTCTGTTGCATTCAGATAATGCACAAATCTCCCTTATCCCAGAAAAATA